CACACACACACACACACACACACATACATACACACAGACACACACTCCCACACACTCAGGGGACTCAAGTCTTAGAGCGGCAAAGAACCGCATTCTCTTCTACAGTACTGTCTTAACACTGTCAACGCGTTGGAATCAGGCGCTCGTCAGTTTTTTGGGCATACAGAGTTATTGGCAGCATCTTAAAGCTGGTTCATTTGTTTTGCTTGGGGTGAAAATATACCCATCTATCTCGAAAAGAAATGGAGATACTTGCAATTGAAGGAGGTGGGGGTCGCGTGGTTTCACAAGTAAAATTAGAGAGAAAATGGCCGTCAAAATCTGATTCTATTTCTATTATGTTGTGAAAATGTTTACAAAATCTGTCATTGTTTTCAGATAGGAGTCTTAACACTATAATTTTGTGGACACGCTAATAAGAAAATTGCCTCACTCTTTTTAGGCTGGTTTGGAGTTTTTGGTTCTGAAATTGAAATGAAGAAGAGAGCCAGCTTGATTATAGTTCACTTGGACAAAAGAATAATCTAAATACAAAATCAATTAAGTGTACTAAAATTCAAACGTTTCACAGAGTCATTTGTTTGAAAGAAAACCTTTTTTCTGGATTACTCAAAATTGCTAAAAATGACTTAGGCATTTATCTTATTATGAGCGTGATGGTAATAATAATTATGCTTCCACGCCTGTTGCAGACCTAATACAATTAAAAAATATCTTAGTCGTCAGGCTTAGGGGAGTTAATCCTATCCGTACGTAATGTTTTACTATCGTATCCATACGACGTGGGGAACTCTCTACCACTTTTCAAAGAGGAAATTTACTCGTTTATCCGATCCGTACGTTTTGCATAGCAGTCTGTCAAAATGATTTTTTTTAGAAATACTGAAAGTTTCAAAGAGATCATCGTACTAGAAGTATTCTAAAATGTGAAGAATACAACCCCGGGGGTACTAAATGACCCCAGGGCGTACGGGTAGAGTTAAGAGAAGAGAAAGAGGAAGAAAGTAGTTTTCACACATGGGAAGTAGATTCACAGGTGCTGCGTGAAGCCGTGAAAAGCCTAACCAGAGAAAGAGAAGAGAAGAGAAGAGAAGAGAAGAGAGAGA